TTGGAGTATACTGACAATGAGGCACTCGAAGGAACAAAATTGGTAAGTATATAGGCTTCTATATTAGGGTTGCCTGGGGGCGAAGGAATTCGGATGACTCTAGGAAGCACGTTTCAACAGTGTCGGTTTGTAAACCAGTGTCTTGACAGCCTTCCTGTTGCTGGGCGCCGAACCCAAAGCGCGAATAGCTTCTGGGGTTTGGGGTTTAGGGCTTCACGCTCAATACGTCCCAATATGGGGGTGTCCGAAAATAGGGGACCCTATTCTAGGCGAAATCGTCACAGCAAAATGCCGCTCCCTATTGGAGAGAAATCGCTGGCGAAAATCTGAGGACAGCTCACAACGCCAAGCATACACCTATTACAGTACCCTAAATAGTAGGATCCTTGTTATAAAGGACCCCAAAATAGGGTACCTCTAATTATCGGAGACTCTGATATGAAGGCCTGAAACGAAGGGCTGAAACTGTCCGCTGCCCTTCCCTGGCCTCGACACAGCCTTGTCGCATGACTGTCCCTTACAAGCCATTCCACGACTAGCCCTAAAGCCCAAACCCAAACCCCCCAAGCTTTACCTAAAACAACAAGAAAAGCTTTCTTTTTGGGAGCCCTTTTTTGGAGCCAAGTGTGCCAAGATGCCAAACAAACTGCCATCCGGGCGCTCCAGACGCAGCCGGACCGCGCCGGGCTCCTTTCCACCATCCCCTCCCCTGAAACTTAGGGTGTTTTGATGGGCTTTTGGGTTCTGGGGCTCATGGCTTAGGCTTCTGGGATATAGGGTTTGGGGTTTCATTTATCTGCAGTTTTAGGGCTGTTTAGGGTTTGGTAGGGGCTCAGGGGCTCAAAGGCTCAAGCCTATTGGATGTGAAATCATTCCATATAGGCCTGGCTGAGACTGTTGCGGCAAGGATACCAACAAAAAGCCAAGAATACCGAACTAGACATCGCGGCATGCAGTGGAAAAACTCCTCGAAATCTTCACAGGAGTCTCAGATCCGGACCAGCCCCTGCCAAACCTAGACGAAGAACCTTCTTGTACTATCCAGCATTCAGACTTCCGGTTCGGGTTTGGGTCTCTCGCGACCCCGATGATGCAGGCAAGGCCTCTCCAGGTTCGTTTGGCCCAGCCGGTCGGCTAAGAGCACCCCCCCCCCAAACCATCTCGCTCCAAGTGCCTAGGGTCTAGGGTCCCTACCTAAAAGCTCCATGGTGGTTCCTTTTTGCGGCTTGTCCTATAACGTAATCCTAAAAAGGAACTACTCTGGAGCCTATGGGTAGCGTCCAGGGAGTCTGGGGTCCCATATTATAATGGAAGTCTATCATGGCCCTGAGCCCAGTCATCCAAGCACCGAAGGCTCAAACTATCCCTAGCCGTAGCCCCGACCTGCAGTGAAAAGACGAACAAACCCTAATTTTAAACCCCAAACCCTTGTAGAATTTAAATTGAAAACCATAGCCCTAAACCCTAAACTCCGACTAGTCGAGAAATGGCCGGGCCACGACATCTGGCCACTGTCGAGCCGCATCCGATAGGACCGGGGGAGCCTTGGCGGACTTCCAACTGCGGGCATCTTCTCCGGACGACTGTGGGCCCTCCCCTCCCCTCCTCTCGCTCTCGCTCTCGCTCTCG